GAAACCCATTTGGAGCAAGTGGAGGCATCACTCTTCCCCCTAAAGTCAGATGCATGTTCTACTGGAATGCAGCACAGTAAGTCAAGCAAACTCTTTTTTCTACCTTAAGGCCCCTTGCTAAAGCTTATGAATCACCACCACCACCACCAAGACCCCCATCAGCAGACTAACTCATCTGTTCACATTTTGGGGCATGCAGTGGTGGAGATAGAACAAGAAGCTTGCAACTTCCTATTTGGCAGCAGAAGCAGGACCCAAAAGAGCTCCTCAGAGTTGGCGTGATTCACAGATGAACTCCTTAGAGAGCTACAGTGATAGCACAGATGGAAAGCCTTCAGTAAATGCAAGCTATTGATTTCAGACACTTCTTTGGAAATCCCCAGACTTCTCAGAGTCACAGAAAACTCTTTATACACACACACCTTCTTTCCATAAGAGTTTATGCTCCTGCTAGAGATCTGAGAGTATCCAGCTTTAATTCACTGTGACCAAGACAAAGCTGCAGAGTCTGTGTCTCTGGTGGAGAAGTGTGAGGATTAGCATGCTCTGTACTACACATTTTCTTATGTACAGATCACAGTGCCACTCTAGTTACAGCAATTTAGAACTCAAGATTACTCTGATCTCCCTTCCTCTGAATTCCTAAAAGTCCCAAAAAACAAGCCATCCAAGCCCCACATCAGGCCCTCACACTACAAGGTTTGCTCCTTCTAGCTCTGCTCAGAAAGAAACTTGTGTAAAAAAGGCAGTGTCCTCTCCAGTTGTATTTCTCATCAAATCATGTTTCTGGTGTAGATTCTAAGCATGGATGGATCTCCCAGTTATCACACACTGCAACAACCCTCCTCAAATGGGAGCAGCAGCACTGAGATGGAGGCAGCTAGGCTGACAGCACATTCAAAGGAATGAGGGAATCAGCTTTTCATGCTATACATTGAGCACTCTCCAGAAATCCTTGCTCTCTCCAACTGTGACTGTCCCCATTGGAGGCTCAGGTCACTCTGGAGCAATCTGGCAGCAGTAAGAGAGCTTTCTGAGATGCCCTGAGCTCACAGTTCCTCGTTGAAAATCCTGGCCAAGAGTCATACTGGTCAGAAAAGGAAGCAGGCTTTAACCTCTTTTACTGAATGGTGCTGCACACGAGAACCTTCCTTCTCCACCCCTCTATTTGCAGTGCCCATTCAACTCGACTTGTTGACAAGGAGCCAAGGAGCACAACAAAAAGAAACTGGACCTTATGTGAGAGGCTCTGACTCATTTACAAATGAAGTGTTTGCTTGTATTGTGGGAGTCAGGAAGGGCAGCATCAATTTAACAGGTAAAGAGTACAAGCAACACCCCAGCACAGCTAGAAGAAGGCAGACAAAACAGTGTTCTCACTTGACAAAAACTAGGTATTGCAACAGAATCTTGCTGCGATTCAAAAAAAAAGGAACAAATTAGAGCTATGGAGGGTTTTTAATCCCTCCACTTAATAAATAGAGGGGAGAGAAAAATTACTTTTTAGGAAGATTGTGGCACTGATACTTCCTAACGGCAAAAAATCATATGGAACTTTTCTCCCCTCTTCCTCTGCTCTGCTGAATGTCTAACGGCCTGGCTGCTAGAGGTGGAAAAATGGATCCGAAATTTCATCCCCTCAGAACAGAAGTAAGCACTCTGGTGGCACAGCATTGCCCTTGACAAAATTAATCCAATGGATTTTTTACTCCTAAGTGGTATTTTAGAAGGTCCAGTTTAAAAAGACAGTATGGACAGTTAAGAAAGAGCCAGAATGAGGCACAGGGAAGAAAGAGAAGACAGAATATATGCAAGATGTGCAGACACATTCTGCTCCCATTCAGATCCCAGCAGACTACATTCTCCCTCACTCCAGTCCCAAGCACTGAGCATATTTGGTGCAAAAACAGCACTATGTGGGAATGTTCAAGCTCTGCTGATTCTTTAGCAGAACTTCCACAGCTTTCTGTTAAATTCAGTTCTCTCCCCAACTTCACACTTTGTGACACTCAGAAGGAGGACATAAGAAACCCTGTTCTCTGTTGGTTTGGGCATATATCAGCCACTATTTGGATACTCTAACATGAAACCAAGGAATAAAAGAATTGTGTGCATCAGCAGGGAAAGATGAGCTGGCATTCTTGCCCCACCAGCCAGCTGGCACAGAAGAACAGATGTGGTACCACCATCAGCAAGGCCTTTGGAAGCAGTCCACGAGGCAGGACGTGGCAAGCAGGCCCCTGCTCCAGAATCCTGAGGCAGAAGGTTTTGAACGTGATATGAAAAGCATTCATCCACAGCACTGAGACTCGGTGCTACAGCCAGACCTGAGGTACTTATGGAATAATTTCCTTCAGACCATCTTAGACCAGAAATACCTGTTTCTGAAGGAAGTACCTAGTGTGCAAGATCAACACCTTCCTTTTGAGTTTGTCACAGTACCAGATAACAAATTTCATTTCATTTTGTATTTATCCTCATCTGCCTACTTGTACATTCACGCTTTTCACTACGGCACCAGGATTCACTAGCACAGCCTGTTACAGCATCAAGAAATGGTTATTCGCTGCAAACAATTGGTTTGGCACCATCCTGCCCACCAGTACTCTTCCTTAGCAAAACTACCCTGTTTCAGTAGGCTCAAGATGTTTCCTGTCACAGGCCTGGGGCCACCTGGTGCAGCGTCAGTGAGCTCAGCAACTTTGCAGTGTTCCACCGTGCTGCTGCAGTGTAAGCCTACACAAAGAGGAGTTCTACAGAGCAGACAGGAGCTGACACCTGTCAGATGGAAAGAGCTTGCAACAGAAATCTGTTCCTTGCACAATTTAGGTTCTTCCTAGCATGGGCAGTAAACAGAGCACTCTATCCTGGCAACATCAGGCAAAACCCCATTAAGAGGAAAACTTTCAAATGAATAACCTTGTCATCAGAAGGTTTTGATCTATAGTTACTTCTTTTGGGCAAGTCACTCAGTCTGGCAGATTTACTGCTGAAGCACGATAAGAGTTGCTATACAGGGAAACCTTGATAAGCAAAGGATACTACATCAACATCTGGCAGGCCTGGAGTGAAGTCCCACAGGAAGTCTCCCTGCTTCTGGAGAGGATGAGGAGATGCCTAATGAGAAAAAAGCTAAAACAAACCCTGCAACCTTCAGCAAGCAGCCTAGTGAGAAACAGGACACAATGGTATCCAACATGAGGGTCTGGGTGCTGAAATTCATCCTCTGGTGCCAATACTGGCACCAGCTGCAACTCAGAAGCTGCCCTGCCTTCCTGAGGAATGACCCAATTTGGAAAACGTGGCTCACAACTGACTCAGTAGAGACAGACATGATTTATTCAATGCCCAAAGCCATTATCTCCTCTGAGCATCTTCATGTCTTCCTCTTCTCATCTGATGTTTCTTTCTCCATCCCTCCTCAATTCTGATTGAGTAGAGGTTAAATGAACACAGAGATAGAACATTTCACACATTGCTATTTCTCCATTTTCATGGGACTGCTTAAGCTGTCAGTAAGATCCAGAAAGAGGCAGAGCTGCAAGCAGATACTGCTTCCTTTGGGTAGGATTATATTATCTCTGCTCGCTGAAGTAACTCCTTTTATTCCACCTATAGCATACTCCTTGGAAAACTGTTGGTAATAATCAGTGAAACAAGGTATCTTCCCACCCACACAGAATCAGTTCATAACCATCACTTATCACAATACTTACAAGCAGCGCTCCTTTCCCCCACTTATCTTCCACTTTTTTGTAGGTTGTAAATGCTTTGACATGGGGGCGAAAGCTACCTGGGAATTCACAAACTCTTAATCAGTTGTGAGGTGCTCCACCCATGCAAATAAATGAATACTGAACTGGAAGATGTGAGAGGGGAAGGACCATACAAAGAGTGGTGAGGTATTGGAACAGGTAGACCAGAGAAGCGGGGGAGACACCATCCCTGGAGGTGCTAAAGGAAATGTGTAGTGTGGTACTTAGAGGCATGGTTTGATGGGCAATATTGGTGGTGGGTGGATGATTGAACTAGATGACCTTGGGGGTCTTTTCCAATTTAATGATTCTACAATTCCAGAGCAGTTTTAGAAATGCCCATCAGGAACAGGGGCACCCTTCTATGGAGCAAGAAGGCACCAGCCAGTGGGATGGCCCCAGCCAGGACACTCCAGGCACTGCTGGAGTATTAAACACAAATCCATACTTTCTCCATCCTGTAAAATTAAGTTTTATTTCATAGGGCTGTCCTAGAGCTGTGTTACAGCTAGTAATAACTGTAACTAACCGGTAAATTCTGTTTGGTCCCATACGGAGCCAGGAGTTGCATTTGATGATCCTTATGGGACCACTACAAATTTGGATATTCTATGATTCTATGTGATTTTACATTGTTCCCCTAGTTGTCAACTGTTGACATACTGCTAAATCCCTGTGAAGGAAACTACACTAATTATGTTTGGACACTGGTCACAGATAATTTCCTGAATCAGTAAGTTGCCTGCAGAGCAAGTAGTGATGTATGTATTTACAAATAAGATTGATTATTCTGAAGAGGTATCTTCACAGTGGCATTTGGATACTACACTGCTTAATATTCACCACAGATGCCCCAGTACAACCATTTGCATCTGCTACTCAGAAGCTACAGAATTAGAAGTTCCTCTACAGCTTGGCTATGTATTTTTATCCTTAGAGAAAAATCAATCCTGTTTTCAAAATAATAATAATAATAATAATAAAACCAAAACAGCAAAACTTCTGGATATCCATAACAACTGAACACTACGTGAGGAGAACCAGAAACCCTTTCTCAATTTTGGCTCCCTTCCACAACATAATCATCCCAGCAGTTGTAGAGTGTGTGTGTGTTTGTGTCACACCGTACTTGTAGATCAGTCCATGTAAGGGTCTGTAGTTAGCTTCAAAGCTCTTCCAAGGAAACAAACCCAGCCCTCTATCCTGTAGTGCTTTCCAAACTCCTGGGTCGCGATCAGCACTCACCTGTGCATGTTTCCATTGGTGGTGAAGGACTGTCCACACACTGAACATTTATAAGGCCTTTCACCTGAGTGCACCAGCATGTGGCGATCAAGGGAGCTCGCTGAGCTCAGAGACTTTCCACAGATGCTGCAGGAATGGTCTGTCCCTCCAGTGTCAGTGTTATGCTAGAGAAAGCAATGATTTTTTTTCATTGAATGACTCTTACACAGCGTGAGTAAGATATCAGAGAGAACTGTAAACACCTTAAAAGTAGCTTCACAGAGCCACGTGACACAATAGCTTATATTAAGGTGTGCCCCATATCCAGTTCTTTCCCACAGCCCTCCCCCTTAACTCCACCCCCTCCCTTTGCTTTAACTCCTTAATGCAGCTGCTTTGTGCAGCCTGGAATGCCCACCACACGCTGCACTTTCACTGGGTGTGCAGCAGAAAAGGATAGAAAGGGACCCAGCAAAACCGATCCAACAAGTGGGACCTTGCAATGTGTTAAGCTATGTAGCACTTTGGGGTAGGGTAAATGGTAAGGGGGAAAGAAGAAAGAGAATGTAATTATAAACTTGATTTCAGAAGATGCTTAAAAATACTCTTTAAAGATATTAATTTCAAAGTGACTGTGTAGTAAGAAAACAGAAAAACAGAGCAAATGCCTCTGTTTTACAGGGAAAACATGGCTATCAGCCACTGCATTATATGTACCACTCATCTTTGCTTGCATTTAGAGAATTGAACATTTCTTCACATACCAAAAAAAAAAAAAAAAAAGAAAAAGAAAAAGAAAAAAAAAACCCCACCCAAACTAAAATCAAATAGAGAATAAGGAAAAAAATTAAATAACAGTTACAGCACAGAAGGGAAAACGGAAGTAATGAGTATCTAGTGGACTCAGAGTGGTGAACCACAACTGTAACATCCCAAGGAGAACTTTCTGACATAGAAAAAGCCAAAGCTCCTCATAATACATTTTCATGGTTCAAGAGGAGCAAGATGAGGCCTGTATCTGACAAAAATAAAGAGCATCATACATTTGAAATGGGTATTTTAAATTCTGCCTCCCAAAACTGCTGTACGTGTAAAGGACAGAGAGGCTCTTAACACCAAGATGATTTTAAAGTTGTTTCTTCCTGCTTCTTATCTGTATGAACAGTAAAGGGAACTGTATTCAAACAGGACAACAAAACAGGACTTATGCCTCATGATGGAATTGGTTTTCTGGATCCTTAGGATACCTTAAGCTATGCAGAACAGGACACACATCCTTGTTTGAGCCACTGAGGGAGTAGGGAGGGGAAGGAAAGGAGAGAAAGAGAGGAGAATTATCCACCTCCTGGTTGATGGTTTGTTTGTTTTTTTTAATTAATACCAGGGGAAAGCTTGACTAAAACCAAAACAATTGTGAAAAGTTATATACAGGCATTTCTGATTTGCACATGGAATTGCTTTTCACTACTGCAAAATGCACGCTGGCAATTGAGACACTCAATAAAATAGGGAATCGAGAGCTCAAACTTTACGTACCTGACGAATGTGCATAGTTAGCTGGTGCTGTGTAGTGCAAATCTTTTCACACAGAGGACAGGTATAGGAAGACTTCTCTTCTTTTGTTTCCTGTGAAGAAAACAACAAAGAAATCAGATATTAAAGAACTGGAAAGCTGTTACTGCTATGGATGGAAAAAGTACGAGCCATCTCCAGTACAAAAGGCCACTGCTAACAGAACGACTTGTATGTGCATTTATCATCCCAGCAGATCCCTCAGGGAAGTTTCAAAAACTTCTGAATTTATAAATAGGGGCCATTTCAACCACCACAGAAGAACAGCAGCTGTTTTAACAGCGCACAGATACTCAGCAGTAGCAGTTTAGGACAGGAAGTGAAGGCAATTACTGCAACCAGCTCAAACTGCCAGGAGGAATTTAGGTGAGCAGAAAGCAATTACCCAGGCTGGAATCCTGCCAGAATATGCTGGCAAATGCAACTAATCTTCCAAAAAGATCTTTAGGAAGCACAAGTCTTCAGGACTTTGGGTTTTCCACCCCACCTCGATGGCAAGTTGTTAGGCCAGTGCCCTTTTCTCAGAGCTCTGACTCAGAAGGAAGAGCAGCATTTACTGAATCACCAGCACCACTTCCTTGAGCATCCTGTGTTTCTCCTGGAAGCATCCCATCCAGGCACACTGGCCAGGCCCAACCCTTCTTAAGCTTGCAAGATCTGATGAGATCATAACGAGAAAGAGGTGACAATGTGGGAGCCTACGTGACTCTAAAAGAACAGATTATGAACCCCGTTATCCTCCACCCAGGTGAGGAGTAACCACGGTCAAAGCATGAGTACAAGCAATGCAATAGCCCCGACCTGGATTGCTCAGTCTGATTTAAGCATGCCCTTGAGACACTGGGGAAAGCCGCCACTCTTTCACAGCCGAGGATGGAATGGCACTCTCACAGAAACCAAAGGCATCTGCCTGAGCTGTCTGCAAGGATGGCTACCGAATGACACACGGTCATTTGCACCAGACGTGGCTTCTGAACCAAAGCCTGCATGACTCAAAGCAAGAAGATCTGGCACTGAAAATGAAACCTCTGTTTTCTGTAGAACTATGCACATCTTTACCAGCTGGAGGTTCACCATTTGTTACCTAAACTCGTGGTGATGAGAATACAAAAACCATCTCTGCATGACTGATGGGAAGCATAATATTTATGCTAAAAGGATGCATTCTATTGAATCTCTTTGCTGGCTATTTTAGGTAACACTAGTGAGAACAAGCAAAAGAAACCAAACAACAGCAAAAAACACCCCACCAAACCTAAGTAGCTCTTTAGTCAGAAACAGGAGGGAGCTGATCTGTATATATCTATCTGTTTCCTCTTTCTAAACAATTTTTTTCCCCTTCACTGTCCTACAAGCTATCAACTGAGAAAGGACCACTTCCAGACAGTCAGACACAAGCATTTGTGTGGGGCGCTGACAATGACTGGCCCAGGTCTCTGTCATCAATCCTGTGGCATTCAAGGGGAAAGACACTGACACAGTGTTAGAAAAGGCTGTTTTGTTGATGATTTTTTTTTTTTTTCTGAGTTTCAACTTAATGAAGCAATATTCCTCTCAACACGATCTGAGGAAACACTCCATAGAGAGTTCCTGACTGAAATGTAACATTACATTTTCAGAAGTGGGGTCATGATATTTTTCCATTAACTCCAGTGACTGGTGGATGTGGATGCAAAGCTATTTTCTCATTTTGCCTCAAGTAAACACGGCGGGTGACCTCCCTTCTATAAGTATCAGGAACAGCAACTGTTAGGATATCCCAACCCCCCTCCTGTTTCCCTTGCAAGGCTCCCCATCCCGAAGGTAATCATTGCAGGCCACACACACAGGCCAGGGCCCAATGCCCTGTTACTCACAAAACATTAGAAAGCAAATAAGAAAGGCTGCCATTATAAAGTCTCAACACCCAAGAAAATTAAAACACATTATCCCCGTGCCCACACACACATACAATTCACACACACACATTCCATCCTACTGATACAACTTTAATTTTACTGCATGCAACCAGTCTGCAGAGCAGTGTTCAGCTCCAATTATACTGCAATCCTGTTAAAGTTGGCTCAGGACAGAGAACAAACACACTGTGCTGCAAGGAAAATCCCTACAGCTGTGCTGACAGTTTAGATCGTGTTTAATCCCCAGGGTATTTATGTGAAATTATCAACCTACTACTTTTTTTTTGCCCCCCCTTTAAATGAGTGACACAGTTCTACACGATGCAATCAATGGCTTCAGAGCCTTTCTCAACTGCTCTTCGCATCAGCAAATTAACAGCAGATAGAGTAATTGCTGGTTCACCTTGAAGCAAAGATCAGAAACACACTATAGCTCTGTCAGAGCTGATTAGTATTGAATCTGGGGTTTATTATTAACTAAAACCCAAACTTTCTCCAGTGGTCACCCAGGGTACACGCTGCATACCGTAACACAGCTCAAGCAAATCAAGGCTAGCTACAAGAGGAACGCTGTTGACTGACTCGATCCAGGCCAAAACACATTAGCATCCCTACTCCAAGAGCACCTCCACTCACAAACATAGAACACAGCACTCAGCCACCTCACTGGAGCCAGGGTGGGGAAAACACGCTTCCTGAACTGAAAGATAAAACTAACAGTTAATTTGTTACCTATTCTCTTTTTAGTCAACCTGGCAAGACAGCTCTGCGTTCAACTGATGGCAAATGCTTTGGGAATTGTGCACAAGGGCTGCTTTTCTCCAGCTCACCTTTGTCACCTTTTTTTTTATTCTCTTATAGAGCAAAGCAAACGAGAAGTTAAAATGGATGCAGGTTGATGACAGAATACGTTTATTAGACTATAGGTAGACCAAAGATAAAGCTAGCATTATAAAGAGAACCATAGACTAAGGACAAAGGTTCACAGCAAAGTGTTTTGCTGCCAAGAAACAGCAGTCAGACCCAGAAAATTAGCACTGTTACTATCCTTACAATTAAAATCAGGGGCACATTCTGACCAGAATCGGAGATCTGTGCACCGTTAAACACTGAAACAAATCAGTGCTTTCATGCTGCTATGTTGAAAATGGAAATTCACTGTATTAGATGTTGTTAAACCCACTTATTATTTCACATCTCACTTCTAATACCTCGCTGATGTAGCCATTTACCCCTCTGGCAATAATGATCTTTCAGCCTAATAACAAATAGGCTATTTACCATGTTTTCAATCTATTTATTTTTACACCGTAAGAATCCCTCTTAATCCTGTCACATTTACTCTCAAGCTTCCTTTGATTCAATGCCCATCGAAGCATCAGGTGGAATAAAGGTCACTAGCACTAATAAACTTTCCTGAAGCCAAGCCACATGGTGTTCCAGCAGACAGCTGTGCAACAGCACTGCCACCGAGTCTCATCTGAATTCCAGTCTTACTTTACACAATGAAATCAAGGAACCAGGGTAGCCCTTAACAGGGAACACAGCAAATAAACCCTGAAGTCAGGTTCTAGCCAGTGTGACACCACCAACACAGTTGCCTGTACACAGCCAGGCTCTTTGATTAAGAATTCCTATGTTCATTTATTGTTAGTGGTTTTTAACCATTTTAAGCAAGAAAATTCAAGACAAGTAATAAGTATGTCAACTGGGCAGCCATTCTGCAAGTTATTAATAAAATACTATAAGACCATCACGAGTCACACTTCCCAACCTTTCTGATCCCCATTACATCTTCATTCATTAACAAATTCTCTGTGCTAAAGTCAAACAGATGCGGGATTTGGGGTGTTTCTTGCTGTACTGCAACACCTTAATTAGTAGGGCTTAACTCAGCAAAAGAGAAACGTGGATATCAATAATCACAGCTTGAACTGACTCTATCACTTCTCCAGATCAATACAGCTATCAGCCAGAGTCATCAACTGGCAAATGGAAAAAAACCAAACTGATAAAAGCTACATCTATTTGCTCTGCAACATTTATACAAAACATTCTGCAACAGTTCTTCACATTTTCATCAACAACAAATAAGGGCACCTTACAGTACAACTGTGTGAACTGAGTGCCTTTATGGACATTTTGTTCTAGCACCACCTTTAACCTTTAATCACTCAGATCTTCTGCAGGGGCAATACCTCACAAAGGGACCCTCTCAACAACTGAGCCAAGCCCCACAGTCCCCTGGCCAGGCCATCCCTCACTGAACTACTTCAGTTCCAGATACTTTTCTCCTAGGTTAATGGAACAAACTGACCCTCTCAACAAATCAGGAAAATGCAAGAACATGGATAATGGATGAAGCAGGAAAGAAGTGGCAATTTTCGTTTTGCTGCTGCTGGTGTCATCTGGCAGACCAGCTTGCCCACTGTGTGACATGTGAGCCCAAGCAAGCAAACCCCTTCCATCCCTGGTTTTCTAAGGTTAAGTTCTGGGGGAGCATCAGGAAACACGCAAAAAGAAACGATAACAGAGGCAAGACAAACTCATGCAGTGAAAAAAAGACAAAACCACCAATGAAACATAATCACATCATTTTCCATGCAGCTGTTTGACTTCCCATCATCTCCCTGTTCTTGAGTTTACAAACCTGATTCCTCCTACCAATCCGATTTGGTGCAGGAGACTTCGAGGGAGATTTGACAGTCTGAGAGGTCCCCCCATTTTCAGCTATCTTCCCCACATTCATTACTGCTGACATCATGGCATCAATGGAGGACAAGTCTGCTCCGTCCGAACTGTTTGGTGAACTTGGCGACACCTTGTAACTGTTTAAGGTTTCCAGCTGCTTCTCTGGAATTAGAAAGAAAAAGCACACATAAGAGCTGCTAGGTCATCTAAAAAATTAAACAAAAAAAACCTCACAACCCAAAGCAAAACCCCAAGGTATTTTCAGCTGCCTGCAACTCACATCACACTGCCTAATTTCATGGACAAATGCTCATAATCACTGAAGATTTTCTTGTATCAGTGAGTTTCTCCTATTGGAATGTATAGGATGAGGTGCAGATCTCTTCTAAAAGGATGTTCACGTTATCTTGACTTCCAAACTAAATTCAGTACGGGAATTATGGAGTGATTCACCTTAAATTTTCTTGCTGCAAAATGGTACTAATTGCAGTACCTTGCAATCACAATGAACTATCAGATCAGCACCAATGTATGAATGCTCTGGCAAACACCATCATTCAAGCAAGCAAGCATTTTAAGCAGAATTGCACAACTGAGGCATCAGTAGCACAGTATACTGGTTCCTCTGTCACATACCTTAAGTCAGCCTTGTAGAAGCAAAGAGCTAAATCTGAAAAAAATCCAACTTCAAATCCCCTAAAATACATTTTTACTTCCATACCTGGCAATGATATAATTATCTTCTTCTTTTTGTTCTACCCACTCTTATCAGTCCATAGAGTATATGTTACAGCCATGACTGATGCTGCCCCACAGGCAAAGCTGCTCAGATTCAGACTTCTCCATCACATTTTGTACACAGCTTGTCAAACACACAGGTAAAGTCCTCCACTTTCCCCTTAAGGTGTTAAAAAGGAAAATGCTTTCAAACTGAATGTTCATTCCTCTAAAAAAGAATCTCCCAACCAAATAGGAACACCCTGCAAGTCTACAACTGTCATCTCAGGTGGTCAGTACAGGATCTTCATGTGTGTGTGAGTCACTCTAACACAAGAGGATGTGAGGGTGAACAAGGAGAAACAAATCTACCTGTGAACATCCGATCTCTGCATAATACTGACTTTGGAAGATAAGTTTGAGCACTACAAACAGGTGTTTTTTGAGGCTAAGTAATGTGGTGCCAAGCTACCTGGAGCCAAGAAAATCTTAGTTTGGAAGCCTACAGTAGTGCCTGAGTATTTATGTGCCCATGCTTCTGCTCACTGTGTTTTATATACTTCACACAGATAAAGGCTAGGCACAAGGAAAGAAAAGCATGCACCTATGCCTCTGCTCAGTGTATATTACACCCCTCACGCAGATAAGGGTTATGGATTGGGTAAGAAATATTTCTACAAGCCTTCATCAATGCCCTAAATTAAAGAGTCTCTCAGAGCTAGTCAGACCAGTTACCTTCATTGCTATCCCCTGATTGACTGAGGCTCTCTTCTTGCTTGCTGGTCTCCTCACTTAGTGTAGTAGCTTTAGTAGCATCAGGCTCTTCAGCCTCTTCTTCAGTAGCACCCTCTAGCACTATGTGAGGCAGATGGGAAAAAGAGAATGAGATTACATTTTGGTGGAAGCAGTTTTAGCAGAGAGTAAAACCCCAATTTTTTGAGTGCTCTACTGATGGCTGTGTAGGTTTGATGGCGGAAGCACGTCAACGGAGCCAATGCAATGAAGCGCCCGAAGCCACAAGTATCCTGGCACAGGAATGGGAGATGCTGCTGCTGCCACCAGCAGTGAAATCTGGGCAAAAAAGGAGAGGAAACCCTTACACAGCTTGGTCCCCAGCATTCAACCACAAAAAAAAAAAGAAAGGAGTAGGGAACAAAGGACTGAGCAAGCCAGTGTGCCACTGACACTCATGACATACGGTAAAGAACTTGGAAGAGTATTCTGCTGCTGAAGATTCACTAAGTAATTCAGTTTCACTCACAACCATCCCACCCCTCAATTTCTCTTCTTGGAGGATTAATGTTTACACCAATAGATGAATTCAGGGCAATCTTCTTCCTTCCTGCAGCAAGAAATGAGTACTGAGGTTTTTGGGGCCATGTGGCACATTCCTTACACCCACTGCCCAAGGGTTTGAGATGAACAGAAGACAAGCAACCACCATATCTGCTGACAGAATTTCTCCACACCCCTTTCTAGACCACAACCTTATCATGCTATCCTTGGGGTTTCAGAAGGGATTCCTGCTCTGGCTGGAGAATGACAATGCAGTTGAACATCACTGATAGAGGTGAAGGTGAATCATCAACACCTAACAAAGAGAGGAGTTCTCTTTGTGGCACTCGTGGTCACAGCCTCTGAAGTGGATGATTCATAACACTGAAAAAATCCATATCTTTTTATTGGAGAAATACATTTTTATAACCTCGTATTGGAAATTAACACACTGTGGACATTCCATCATCTCAGGTTTCCAAATCGCACCCAGCAGACTTAATATGGATTTTCCCTTTTTTCAGAAAGCAGAGGCCATCGCTCTCAATTTATGGCTAATAGGGTTTCTTCCTTTTAAAAAAGAAATTCTCGAGGATGACGCAGATCAGTCACAAAACATATCTTCAAATGCTTTTTGAACAGCGTATGCAAACAAGAAATGATGGTATCCCAACTACTGACATTTCAGAGTGAACAACAAAAGTCTGGCAAAGAGAAAGGGCCCAGTTTCTGCTCTCTTCACTCGTGTCATGCAGTTCCTTGCTTTACTCAACACAAGAAAAAGCAGCAGACTCAAGCTCTCCATGTCAAACTGCCGTCCTTCTCAGGAGCAGCACACTGGTGGTTTGACACAGTGAGCAGCACAGTCTGGAGATGAAACATATGTGTGAGCTGACTGAAGCCCACAGTCTAAGACTCCAGATAAAATCAACTTCTTCAAACACCACTTTTAGTCTGCATCTTCAGAAACCAAGACTATTTTGATGCTACCCTGAACAGTTCAAGATAACTCTTTGAAGGTTACTTCTGTATGCTTTTCTGCTAAGCAAAGCACTAATGTTCCCCGTGATGCAAGGGACTGCTTGATTCGAGAGCCCAAGCATCCATCCTCCTGTATTTTCTCCAACAAGTATAAGAGCTGCTTATTTGATGGGGTCTTTAAAAGAGGTCATTTAAGAGCAATACGGTCACTTCTTTCTACTGCGTAAGTGGTTAAAAAGAAAGTAAGTGATTTAATCTTGAAGAGAACAAGTACTAAAGAGTCACTTCCATGTTGCTTGCTGTATCTGCTCAGTACCACCAAAAACAACGACCACTTTACATCATTTGGAAAAACTTCTGTTAAAACAATGCAAGTAAGTGCTTTACTACATAAAAAAAAGCAAACGAACACATCAACAAAAACCAGCTCCTCCTTCAGAAATACACTTACCCTTTCCTCATTCAGTCAATACCTCTAGCATTAACGTTACCACCATTACGTCCTGGAAGAAGTCACTCTATAGCGTAAATAACTCTGAAGATTCAGCATTTCTTAATTTTAAGCAGTTAAAAGACTGAAATTCAACTCTGCAAAAATAGGGTTAGTGTCGCATGCTTTTGTTCACATATGTATTTTCCATTTTCTTGCATGAAGCAAAAATGTACCACTTAAACAAAGATAACCACATGAGCAGGACGCACTGATTTCAGAGGCATAACTTTCTATTTGCAATAGGATATAGAAACAATAAGGATACTGGGCCAAATCACTCCTTCCTGTGGGAAAACCCATGGCAGAAAGCCTTCAGGCAAGAGAATACTGAGAGGTTTCTCTTGCAGCTTTTTTTTTTTTCCTTAATAAATGCATCAGTGAGGACGGGGAAATGTTTTTTTCCACAGCACCTATGAGATCCCAGGAATCAGACAAGCAGTGACAGCAGGAATGCCCTGTGGCCCTGCCCTCAGGGCTCTAAACACCCCAGCTGGGAGGTCACACCAATGGAGCCTCCTTCCTCCCTTTCCCCAAAAGAGAACAAAGACCTCCAGGAAAGAGAGACAAACAGGAAAGAGGCTGGCAAACAGCATGGCCTCAGGTTGCATTCAACATCTGAGCAAAGCCTCTAGGAAACAGGGAACTGGTCACAAGCATTCAAGTCATCTATTTTGGAGACCCTCCCCCAGCATCACAGTCACCCTCTCTTATGAAAGCAGAGGGCATACATGTGAGGGGGCAACAAACAGAACAAAATCCCAACAGCCTTCCACCCGTGGTCACAGAAAGGGACCCGGCTCCCTCCATGTGGTGTTGTTTCCGAAGCCATGAAACCGGGCAGCTGCAATCTCACACAGAAGGCTGCAGGGCCTTCAGCTCCTCCTTGTGCTGGAGGCCCATCCCGATGCCACACATAACAGGAGAGCTGCTGAGAAACAGGAGGCTCAAAAAAAAAAAAAAAAAAGAAAAAAGAAAAAAGCCTTGTTGCTTCCCATTCAGTCTGTACAGGAAGACACTTGCTAGACCTATTTCCTCCTCTGGGATAAAGTGTGACTCCACTGTATGCTAAAGCTGAGTCCATCAGCAGCTACTTCCCCCCTCTGCTTATGTGTATTTATTTGTATTTAATTTTTTTCTTTAAAGACCACTCTCAACTGTTACAGCTGTTCCTCCTTCTGGCGATGAGCATCACAGATGAAGCAAAAAAGAGAATGCAGGCCAGCAAGGGCTACAGGGGAAGGAAGAAGAAAGGAGAAGAGATGATGAGCCTTGAGAGTCACGATCACTTGACTTGCCAATGAGAGACAGCCACTCTAACGTGGAGCTGGTACAAGTCCCTGCTCTGGTTTGCTCCCCTGTCTCTGCACAGGAGTTCTCTGTTTGGAATAGGTAGAGAGAAACACACAATACAGGCAAGGAGGGGGAAAACCTGGTGTGTAGCACAAAGCTGCTCATTGTTCTGCCTTAAAAAAATGTTCACATCAACGTTAAATTGGAAGCCATGCACTAATTGGGCCAGGGAAAGATTAACACTCTCAGCCAAATACTTTTATTGGTTTCATTAAACATGCCATAGTATGCAGCACAGAACACGGTGGGAGGAGCAGAAACAGGGGAAACAAATGATGGCTTTAGGAATGCACCCCCCACACACATGCATTTCAAACCACGTTTTCCTGTGAGGCCCAAACAGGAATCCTGAGCCTTCTTCATCATTTCCATCTTAGCAACGCTATTATCTTATTCAAGGCTTTCCCAAAGTTTTTTTGTTGTTTTTTTTTTGTCTTCTTAGTGATAGAAAAAAATATCCAAGGATCATTTAAATGAAGGCCAGACCTTCCTAGTATACAAATTTAGAGATGAGCAGAACTTCAAAGAGAGAGATTGCATTTGAATAAACAAAAGTTTACCGTTTACCCTTGAGATCATAATACCTAAGAATCACTACACCACTTTCAGAAAGGTATCTGATGCAATGGTCTTGTACCGAGCGCCCACCAGAGGAGCAGATTTCCATCCCGGAGCACACAGAGACGCTCCCAAGCACAAAAGCATCCCCAAGAGATGCACACAGCCACCCAAAACCACTTTTTGAATGTCATTTAGCTTCAAAGCTGGCAGGAAAGAAGGAAAGAGGATGAAAACGCGTTGTGTGGGAAGAAAAAGGGGTTAATACCATTGAAAGCCACTGCCTCAATGCAAAGGAAAACCAAAAGAAAGAAGTCTTCCCAACTGACCTTTTTAATATCAACTGTGCCCTTGCTACTGAAGTGTTGGTGCTGACTCGGCACCCCAGCGGTAGAGAAATATACTGGCAGCGTCACCTCACTGTCACCACTGCTGGAGCACCAGTACAGAGCAGCCTATGGGGAAAGGAAGACAAGCATAAAAAAAACACAGTGGCATGGGAATAGCTGGTGGTCGGTTATTAGCTCAGCATTCAGAATAAGACAGGCACTAAGGATATTGCCCCAAAGCTTTTGAACTAGTACCTCTAAGTAGAGTTTTCCCCTGGGGAAAAGGAACAAAAAAAACCAAAAACAAGCAACCATACAAACCCCAACAACAAATGAAACCTCAAAGACACCAAACCAAAGGAGCAACAGCTCAGGACAGGCGCACTCTGGGCACTGAAAGACAGACCGCTCATCTTGCAACGACCTCTCGGGGTTCTTACTGATACAGCTGTTTTATCCATATTAGCATGAGTGGAATACCTCATTCTGCAACTCTACAAATCCACAGCATCCACGTGTCTCCTCTAATTTGACACACACACTGGCAGATAGGCACAGACACTGAATAAACAAGTGAAGCACACGCTCACCGCCATGCCTTAAAGCACGGCTGGAGCGCACCACCTGTTTTAGGGGCAGGGCGAATAAGAGCAAGAAGACTTCCACATTTATGGATTATTTTGTGCACTGTTGCTACCACACCTAACAGCCTAAATTTTGAATATCCAAAGATGTTTACTTCTTCAGTTTCACCCCTTTGCATGCATGATGAGATACGTGGGCGATATGGTTCTTCTTTAAGTTTTGAAATCTGCATTCTCATGATCTATGGACTATTAGCAGTCCTCAGGACTTTGGCTTGGATGACC